TACAAGCACCTTTGAAGGACCCTGGCGATAAATCTCGAAATTCACGAAGTCACCACAGGCGTCTCGTTTTCGACGGGGACGTCGCCTACCACTGAAAGCATAGCGCCGTTAAATCTTAGAATAAATCCAGAAAAATACGAGAGCATCCGTGCCAAGTCGATGACTTAAATCTGGATGGGCAGGTTCCACCACGAGGAATAGCTGAGTACTGAAACTACAACTATATTTTATAGGCTATCAAAACTAAGATTTACACTACCAAAACTAATGCTGTCACAGAGGAGGAGGGGAGTGGTGGTGGTGTGGGGTGAGGGTGGTGGAGGCCTAATTTGGCCTCCATGAGCCTCCGCCCCTGATCCGCAACAACTGCCGCTGCGAAGTGGACAAAAGGTATCTCCTTTTGGCTTGTGGACCGAAGATTTAAAAATAACTTTGTTCAAAAAAGAGATTCAAAAGAAGTATTGCTAGCTAGAGGTTACCACTGCTACCAACTTGCTTCGGTAGAAGACATTGGATTCTCCGGTGTTTTGACCTTGCAATAAACAAAGAATAAAAGGGCGTAAGAACCTAGGTGGAGACCTTGGAGAGACTAAAAATTACACACTTGGACTTGGCACATTTTTAGGGGCCTGTTTAGTTGCTCCAAAATCCAGAATTTGACACTATGCAAAAAGAAGATTCCCCATCACATCAAACTTGCGGTACATGCATGGAGTATTAAATGTTGACGAAATCAAAAACTAATTGCACAGTTTGGTTGTACTTTGCGAGACGAACGTTTTAAGCCTAATTAGTCAACAATTGGACAATTATTACCAAATAAAAACAAAACGACACTGTAGCAACAGTGTTGCTACAGTGATCCGGGCGGCGCCGAACCGGCGGAACTAAACAAGGGCTAGATAGGATTATGAACGAGTTTAGTATAGCATATCGGTTCTTGGACATTAAATGTTACTGCGTCACAGTTGGTCTTCCACTCTACCTCAAACTCTAGGCTTAGATGCATGTCAGGTCAAGTGTGTTCTTATGTTGGTCACTGAAATCAAGTCAATATTTTACATCAGTCGATCTCCTGATGAAAAGAAAAATAAGGATCATTGCAGATCATCTGACCAAGAGCTTTAACAAGTATCGGACTCGTAGTAAATCTCTCCCTGTTCAGACATGAAAGATACTATGTACATAGCTCAGAGCTGAGAAGATCCATGTGAGATTTGCAGTGTTGGCGATTTTTATAAATCGCCCAGATTCCAAGCCTCATCAGACTGCGAGCATGTCCGGCTGTCTTGCTGTCTGTCAATCTTGTTATCTTGCTGTGGCTGTTGATGTTGGCCAGATTAAATATTAAATTTCGCGTCATCTTATGATCATTAGGGCAATTAGAGGACACTGCGTTGCTGAAGACAGACATAACCGGCAACGTGAATCCTAACTGGACTTTTTGGGCTCATCCTGTCGATCCGGTCCTACCTGGTTTATTTTAGTATTTAATTTCTTGCATTATTTTCAAATTGGAAAATACTAGTGGAGTGTGCCAGCCATGTATATTTTCTTCAAAAAATAAGAGATGAGAGAATAAATAAAATCATCAAGGGCTCAGAGACATTTCAGATCATGTGAATTCTAATCTGTGATGCATGGACTATTATAATGGATTGCAATTGGGTTGAGATGACTGTAGCTAGATTGTGAGAGCAACCACAATGTGGCAGCAAAATAGTCTATAGGAATAAAATACTCTCTACCATGTAGCTGAACCATTGTGGAGGTGGTCCATATAGCAGTCTATAACATAAGGTACACATAGCCCAATAGACTACCCATAAGCAATAAAAAAATGTTATTCTTTCTCTCTATGCTCTCTCTCTTGTGGAGGTACAGAAGATGGTTAGATAGAATAATTTTTAATCTCTATTGGACCTCACCTTATGGACTATTTGTTGGCTGGACATTGTGAGCAAATAATAGTAAGTTAGTAACTATGGACTACCTATATATGGGTCACATGTATATAGACTACTTGGTCCATATACATTGTGGTTGCTCAAGAACATGAATAGACAGACTACAACTTGATTGAGATGATTAGTTAAGACCCATATATATCTTTGACTTGTGGGTTAAACTTAAACCAAATTCTATTCAGGCCACAGGCTTAAGCCAAGCAAAAGTTTATCTAGACGTAGCTAGCACTTTCTGTTGCCTTCTTCTGTGTTGCTTCCTCACTTTTTCCCATGCTTGCATGCCTCAAATGCCAAGAGCCCCACAGCTTATGGACCAAATAAATGGGACATGCAGAGGCAAACATCCCACAACAAGGATTATTCCTGTGACAAGCAGGAAGCTAACTTAGTGCAGAGGACAAGTGATACTTGATTGCATTAGGGCTTCCTTTTGAGAAGGAAAACAAGAGGGACTAGAGGGACATGCTAGTGGTTTTCAGCCTAATACAAGAGGAAGCACCCAAACAGATCAAGGTTTGTTTTTCTTGGGGTACAGCCACAGCCCTTCCCTTTATCCCCACTTTCTCCACTTTTGAGGCCAACCCCTTCCATTCTTTTAGGTTTGTGTATGCCTCAATGCAAGAAGGTTTAAACATTCTTAGGACAAAACACGGGGTTTTGTCTCTAATGGTTGGTTCATCTCTTAGTGAGTATGTGTACTGTGTAGGGTCCGGTCTACCAAATTCGTATCATGTTGTGGAATCTCTTTTTTAGGTTCACAGTTCTATAGGAGAGGCTTTTATACAACTAAGCTGCTATTGGAGTAGGATCTTTGGGGTACATACATACAGGCTTTAAAAAGGGGCAAAGATAACAGGGGATATACTAAGTACATCCTCTGTTGCTTTATAATCTGGATCGCATATTAGAATTCCCTAAAACTAATAGGTAGTGCAGAAACTTTTCTAACGGAAAAAGTATTGTTCCCAGTAATGATTGTAATTTGCAAAATTAAAACCTCACATGAAGATCTTCCTAAAAAATTCCATACAAATATAATTGAGCTGATGAGAGAAATTCAGGGCAATGCTATGCTACCGCCCAGTCAAAGATCTTACCATGAATTCTGATTCTGAGTTGTGGTAAATGATGCAGTACCTACCACCATACTAGTATCTCTTGCATTCATATTGTTCACCTGCCCATCACTGTCACAGAGATCAGAGAGAGGAAGCAAAACGCTCCAGGAGTAGTAGTGGGATTTTTGAATGAGGCCCCGTTTAGATGCAAGCCAAAAATCAAAAATTTTCAAGATTCTTCGTCACATCAAATCTTACAGCACATGCATGGAGTACTAAATATAGACGAAAAAAAAACTAATTACATAGTTAGCCGAGAAATCGTGAAACGAATCTTTTAAGCCTAAATAGTTCATAATTGAACAATTTTTGCCAAATAAAAACGAAAGTGCTACAGTAGCCAAAAGCCAAAAACTTTCGGAACTAAACGGGGCCTGAGTTCATGCTGTCACATCCGGAAACCAGGCAGCTCAACTGCCGCTTAGCAGGGTTACCAGGATAAGCACCGACATGATTTTTATATTCCACCTCAACTAAATATCTCTGGCCGACTTTCTATTTTTTTCTACAACTTCACTATTCTGTTCTACTACGGTTGAAATCTCGCAGAAAGTTTGCTGTAGGGAAAAAAAAAAGTCTTGCAGGTAGTTTGGCAGGCTAACCCTGACGTTTGCGTTGGCATTTGGCAGGAAACCTTGGCTTCATTAGCAGCAGACAATGATTTTTTTCACTAATCTATCGCTGCAATTTCCTACCTGCCTCAGACTAACGGTACCTGGTACTTATATTTTTTTTAGTAGCTCTCCGTTCCATAGCCGTGCCGTGAATCAGATTCAGCCCTTCAAAGAGGCTGGTTGGTTTGTGAGTTGATAAGTCCAGCTGATATTGATTTGTCGTGAGAAAAAACACTATTAATTGACTAATAAATTTTAACCGGAACCAATGAACGAACATGCCGTACAACTGAAACATGTCGAAGAACTAGAGCCAGGCAGGAATAAATTTCTCTCACTTCATCGGTTCAAAAGTTGCAGCGGTAGTAGTAAATGCAGTGGCATACTACTGTAGTTAGATGATTTTTTTTTAGAAAATAGTACCGTAGCACTCTCATTTTTATTTATCGATTAGTGTCCAATCATAGTCTAATTAGGTTTAAAAAATTTGTCTCGTAAATTTTGTCTAAACTGTGTAATTAGTTTTATATTTTATTTATATTTAATACTTTATGCATGCGTCCAAAAATTCAATGTGACGGAAAATCTTGAAAAAATTTATAAAATTTTGAGAACTAAACAGGCACAAAAGCTAAAGCTGTCTTTTGGCAAATTGTCTTGTTTATATGAGGTGTCGTGGTCAATGCCTTTTTGCAGCGTGACTGGTGTTGTGTGTGAGATCCATTGGGGGGTTTCTGCAGCTGGAGGTGAAGCTAAGAGGCTTTCGGCTTTCCCCTCTTGCAAAATGTCCACTGGAGTTAGGTGTTTGACCTGGGAAGTAGGCAAGTAGCTTGCTTGCCTAATTGGTGGCGGTAGATGCCATGCCATGCCATGCCGCATTGGCTGCTGGTGGGTGTACACATTACATACAGGGTGCAGGAGGGCTTGTTGGCGCCTAGTGTGGCCTCTGCCTTCTGCCTTCTGAAGGCACCATTCTGCTCTCTGCTTGCATCATTGGGAGGGAGCTCTGCCTCTCTTCCTCTCTCCTTCCCACTTCCCACTTCCCACTTCCCACTGCTGCTTTGTTCTCCCTCCCTCTCTTCCCCCTCCTCTGCTTGAGCATTGAACGCCAGGTCCAGCAAACTGTGTGAGTCCTTTTCTTCCAGGCTCTGCAGTTTCCCTCGTTTATCTCCGCACGACGAGCTTGCCAGCTTGGTTTCTTGTTCTCAGTTCTTAATCTGTTTTGTTTTTCCGTGTGTGTGTTTTTCCCAGTTCTTGTTCTTGGCTGGTTTCACAAGGTGTGTGAACTCTGAAGAAGAGAAATGGCGGCACTGGAGAAGAGAGGAGGCCACGCCCACGAGCCCTTCGTCGTCAGAGCAGCGAAGCCCTCCAGTCCTTCAGCGAGGCAGAAGCGCTCCAAGAGGTTAGTTGGTTGGGTGCACGAACACGAGCTCGCCTCTGTGGATTCCTGCCTTCTCGTTATCTTTTCGCAATGTTCAGTTTCAGTTCACGAGGAAATTCTGATGTTGGTTGTGTTGCGTGGTGACAGTGATTTGGACGACAGAGACGCCAAGTGCGCACCGCGTTCTTCGCAGAAGGCATCCAGTCAGACTAAGCTTGTAGTGAGTTCTTGGTTTTCCGTCTTGTGCACATGTTGAATTCACATCGCGTTCTGAAAAAAAACTGATAATTGCTTTGTGGTTTCTTTTTACCGTGTTTGTTTTGTCGTCCCAGCAAGGCAGAAACTCCAACCCTCAGCAGAAATGCGAAACCAAGAAGGAGATTCAGCAGCCCAGGAGCGAGACACTGAGCTCCCTGAAGAAAGAGGCAAGGACTTGAAAATCTGCTGCTTGCTGTTCTTCACTGATCCTTTATTTTGTTCTACGCTAGTAGTCAGCTGCCTGCTTGAAAGTTGAAGCTGTCCTGTTTCTACTTTCTACTTTCCTTTCGTTGTGTTGTCCAAAAAGAAACGCTCCGACCCAACGCAAAACTGTGCCTGAATATCGCAATGTTGCAGATAACATGATGAACTGAACTGAACCCCAAGTTGTTTGTTGCTCCGTTTTTTTTTCCCTCTTTTTTGAAAGATCGTTTCTTGCTCTGTTTCTCGCTCGGACTGACACGATGGGCACGCACATGCAGATTCTGCAGCTGGAGATGCACCTCAAGGATCAGCAGGTGGTGCGCGGCGCACTGGAGAAAGCGCTGGGGCCTGACGACGACCCTGCCGCTGCTGCTCCACCCACTCTCCAACACGAGAGCCCAGCGCTGAAGGTGCCTCCTTCCTTCACCTAATCACCAAATCACTCTTTCTTAATCCTGTCACTTCGTCCGTTCATCGATTAAACTGATGTTTTTACTTTTTTTTTAATTCAGCCGGCTACTCAGCTGATAAGGGAGGTTGCGACGTTGGAGCTGGAGATCAAGCACTTGGAGCAGTACCTGCTGACGCTCTACCGGAAAGCATTTGAGCAGCAGCAGGTGTCTTCAGATGCTCGCCGGGACCGGGAGGCGGCGGCGCGCAAGCTGTCGGTGAGCTCGCGGCCCGACGAGACGCCCAGGCCGAAGGGTCCCATGATCAGGGGAGGCGGCGGTGACCCGACGATGCTCCACTACAGCGGCCCTCCGCTTAGCGGCAAGGGAGGAGGAATAATGGCGGTACGGTGGCGGACGACTGCTCGCCGTCGACGTGCTCCCGGAGGACGACCGCGGACTTGGTGGACACGGCCGGCCTCCGGAGCCAGTCGGCGCTGTCGTTCCGAGGTGCGTGGTCGTCGTCGTCTTCCAGGATATCGCCCACGGAGGACAGCCTCGCCAGGGCGCTCCGGTCCTGCCACTCCCAGCCCTTCTCCTTCCTGGAGGTGATCATTGCCATTGCCTCATCCATCATCAGAATCTGATATTCAAATTCAAATTTTTTAACAACCAATTTTGTTGTGAGTCCATTCATCTGTTCTGATTTCTGACCGTGCTGACGAATGATGATCATTCAGGAAGGCGAGACGGCACCGTCAGGAGTGGTGAGCCTGGCGGACTACCTCGGGACGAGCGTGGCGGACCACATCCCGGAGACGCCCAACAACCTGTCGGAGGAGATGGTACGGTGCATGGCCGGGGTGTACTGCAGGCTGGCCGACCCGCCGCTGCTGGCGCACCACCGGCCGTCGTCGTCGCCGTCGTCGTCGCTGTCCTCGGCGCCGAGCGCGGTCTCCCCGCCGCAGCACCTCGGCGGCGACGCTGACATGTGGAGCCCCAGCAGTTACTGCTGCCGGAGAGACGGCGCCCAGCTCGACTCCAGGCTCATCAACCCGTTCCGCGTCGAGGGGCTCAAGGAGTTCAGCGGGCCCTACAGCGCCATGGTCGAGGTGCCGGCGATCTCCCGCGACCGCACCAGGCTCAGGGAAGCCGAGGACCTGCTCCAGACTTACAAGTGAGTGAGTCACCATAGATGCTGTTCAGAACTTCAGAGCAGTGATGGCATGGCGTGTAGTGACATCGATCGGTGTTTGTACAATGCGATTTCAGGCTGATTCTCTACCGGCTGGAGACGGTGGATCTGAGGCGGATGACGGGCGAGGAGAAGCTCGCGTTCTGGATCAACGTGCACAACGCCCTGGTGATGCATGTAACGTTCTGAACTCTCGATCTCTGAATCCACAGCCTGACTGTTGTGTTGTGTCTGCTCGACCGTTTCTCTGACTGATTGATGCTGATGATCGATCGTCCATGCCCAGGCGTACCTGAAGCATGGCGTCCCGCAGAACCAGCTGAAGAAGACATCACTGCTTGTCAAGGTAAAGCCCAACCTTAGTCACACAATCCCTGAATCCCTCCACCTCAACAGATACTAGCAAATGACCGGCAATGGCTGACACAATGCAATACCATGGGTGCTTGTGCAGGCGGAGTGCAAGATCGCCGGGCGCGCCATCAACGCGGCGGTCATCCAGGGGCTGGTTCTCGGGTGCAGCACGCACTGCTCCTCCGGACATGTAAGTGCCTCCACCATCACATCCACACCATCATTGGGTCAAGAAACCTGCCTGCAGCGAGGAGCACGATGCCATGTGTTCCTGGCTTCCTGCTGCTAACTGAACTCCCATGTATTCTGGGCGCTTTTGATCGCAGTGGCTGCGGACTTTGCTGCACTACCCGAGGACGAAGACGAGCCGAGCGAGCAAAGCCGGAAGCGAGGAGTGGCGAGCCTTCGCCGTCCGGCAGCCGGAGCCTCTTCTGCGCTTTGCGCTTTGCTCCGGGTGCCACTCCGATCCCGCGGTGAGAACCAACGACCACGCCCACCCCTCTTTTCTTCTTTTTTGGTGCGCAAAAGTGCAAACACACAAAAGCTCTGCGTGTCGATTTAGAATTTTATAGAGAAGAAGAGACCAGAGATGGCTGACAGAATCGAACATAAAGCCTTGAAACCATGGATTATTAGTACTTACAATGGACAGTGTGGTTCCTGGGAACTCTCAAACATGATTGAGCTGAGCATGGTAACAACGATCACCTAGTGCTAGTAGTGTATGAATCGAGTAGTCATGTAGAGATGTTTCTGAAAGTGACAAAAGCTGCATGGTGAACTAGAACCTGTCACCTGTGTGCTGTTGTGCCATGGATTGGATGGATGAACACAATGATGAAAGGAGCTTTATACAAAGTATATATATCTACTTTTGTATCCTTGGTACATGTATGCCGTAGTACCTACTACATTCCACTCCACCATGCAAGAATGTTCATGCTGTTGTTCATCGAAGTACTCGATGGTCGACGCATCATTACACTTGTCTGTTCTTTTATTTGCATGTTCAGAGTGATGAGTCCAGTTGTTCAGTCGCCGATCGATTCAGCTTGCACTGACAGGAAAGAAGGATGTTCATGCTTGTCTTGTGTTCCATGGCGTGCGTGCGTGCAGGTGCGGGTGTACTTCCCGAAGCGGCAGGCGCAGCAGCTGGAGGCGGCGCGGGAGGAATACGTCCGGGCCACGGCGGGGGTGTGGAAGGACCACCGGGTGCTGCTGCCCAAGCTGCTGGACGCCTACGCCCGGGACGCCGGCCTCTCGCCCGACCGCCTCCTCGACGCCGTCCAGCGCTGCCTCCCGGAGACCCTGCGGACGGCGGTGCATCGGTGCCGCGGCGACGGCAGGTCCGCCAGCAAGATCGTCGAGTGGGTGCCCCACCGGCAGAGCTTCCGGTACCTTCTCGCCAGGGACCTCGCCTTCCCGCACCTCAGCTAGCTAGCTAGCTGCTCGTCGTGAATCTGATTCCACAGTGATTAGTTAATTGGTAGTAGTTGTGGTCATGTGTTGGGTGGATGTGTTGATAGATTTGGTTCTTGGATGATGATGATGATGATGATTGCGTCCATGATCCATTGTTAGGCATGGGTATTCTTCGTCTTAATTTGCGCGTGTGAGAAACTCGCTGTAAAGAGATGACAGAGTTTGTAGATATAGCAACACAAATGAAAGAGATGACAAAGTTTGTATTACTTTATTGTACAAGTGAGGCAACGCTAATGGGCAGCGCCTCCTAGAGCAGGAGCAGCTCTTCATGAAAATCACTCCTCCTCAACTTTATTCTGACTGTGATTAAACAAATATCACTTTATTTACATAAATAGAAGCTGATAGCTAAAAAACCCACACTTTCTATTCAATCCCCACTAAAATTACTCCAAAATCATTTCCCACTTGTTTCCCCTCAAGAATCACTCCATAAGAGAATCAGGTAGCTAGTGATAAGAATTAAGGATAAAACTCCCAAGACGCATGGATCATAGGGCCAACAACTAGCTACATTCTTTTTAAAAAAGCATCACTAATTGCATTGCACTAGGAAAAAAATTCTAGAAAAGGAAATTAAAAAAGAAAAGACAACATCCTTATGGGCCTCCGTGCAAAGAAGGCCCAACCCACCTTGACCTTCCGTAGGAGTGGGCCAGCCCAATTTCCATAAAAAGATTAACATGACCAAGCCCAGAGAACGCCTCTTTGGCAGCAACATTAAGGGAGAAAGTGCTCTCGTACAAGTGCGAACCCGCCGCTCCGCACCCACAGCCGTCGGCTACCTAGGCAATGGCAGCCTTCCAGCAGGCGTTCCAGGAGCCGCTCGACTCCGCAAAAAGGTCCACACTTCGGGCGCTTTTGAAGGTCGACCTAGGAGGGGTCAAGTGTGTATTCGAGGAGGCTTGCTAGTTCCATCAGCCCCTGTGTTGCCTTTAGTGATGCCTAATTTATCGCAAAACATTCATGTAAATTAAGTTGCATCCTAGTTCGGTGGGTCGCTTTGAGGTTCCGTCCCTCCTACCACGGTAATCTATGGATTACTTGGGAGTGTTGTAACCAATCAAACTCTTCTTCTACTTAATGAAATACAATCGTGAAAAGAGCATTAAGGCCATGTTTGGATCATTGGAATTAAATTTATTTTAATAATCATAATTTAGACACATATTAATTAAGCTAATATGATTGTATATTGATTATATTTGTATATTACTGTTGGATATACGAGAGAGATACTTATATGTTGCATTTCTACCGTAGGGAGCGAGTTGAAGAGTGTGTTATAAGTTACAAAGTAGAAACATAGAATGGTGATCTATAGAGACAATTTCCATCTCCCACCCTATGAATGAGATAGGTTTATATGGAAACTTTGGAAAGTGTGGTGGAATGTCAAATTCTATGCCAAATAGCCTAATTTATTAAGTACTCCCTCCGTTCTAAATTATAAGTCGCTTTGACTTTTTTGGTAAATCCATTTTACTATGTATATAGATAAAATAATATGTCTAGATACATAATAAAATGAATGAATCAAAAAGGTCAAAGTGACTTAAAATTTGGAACGGAGGGAGTAGATTTCAATTCCTTCAAATGCAAGGATCCAAACGGCCCCTAAAGGATTCTTTGGCAGCGTCTCTTAGAGCAGCAAAAATCCCTCGTCCCACAAAAATAGTAAAAAGTCACAATTCTAATTCTAATAAGTATTAGACACGAATCACTATTAGGGCCCCCTATGAAACATGGGATTTTTCCCATTCCTGCACTTTTCTTGGGAAAAGCGAACTGAATCCTGTGTAATTCCTATGAAATTCCTGCGTTCCAAAGGGGGCCTAAATCTGCTCCTACCAGGATTACTTTCCTGCCTACCTACTCACCTTGCTCCACCACAGAAGTAACTTCATGAGATAATCATGTAGCCAGAGGTAGGGATCAAGGGGTGAAACTCTAACAAACAAACAAACCCTAACAACATTCTTTCCTTAAAAAAACACAATTAATTGCATTCCACAGTTTCCTACAAAACGAAATAAAGAAAAAGAAAGGTAGCATTGAGCCTCCTTGCAAAAAAGGTCCAGCCCACCTCGACTTTCCGTAAGTAGGCCAGCCCAATTTCCCTAACAAGATTAGCAGGCCCAAGCCCATAGAACGCAAGTCACACAACACACGCTGGCGGCGGGCCCCGCCGGCA